CCTTGATAAGCCACTGGTAACCACAGGGTTAAAATTTAGGTTTTAATTCATCAATTATATTTATATCAATGGTTAAAACTATTTTCTGCAAAAAAAATTGATTATAATTTCATTTAAAATATTAAAAGTTGTCTCATTTTCTGGTAGAGGGTTAAAGGTTCCCACCTCCCCACCCTCCAATGAAGAAATATAATGAAAAAAAAAGAAAAATTGTACTCAAATTCAATCCGAGAGTGCTATTTCCCACCATCTATGGTTGCCATAATCATAAAATTTCTTACTGCAGCTCTAACAATAACATGGTTGGACCCCTTATCTGTGAAAATTCCTCTCAGTTCAATATTAATGAAGGTGGGTGTAGATCGAAGTGTCATTTTGTGAAAATTAGAACACCTCCCTCCCTTTGAAATCCTGCTGTCTGTCTTCAGCTCATTCTTTTGACCATCATATCTATCTTTTTGTCTGTTTGTTTTGATAGATTCTTAATGGAGGCGGTACATGGTGATCTATTCTCCAAGCGTCAGTGGGAGAAGTTCCTCAAGAACCGTGCCGTCCCCGGTAGTGGTATCTCGTTCGCAGAGATTGAGGTAGACCTCTGTAACATTCCGAGTAGGGAAGACATAGCACTAGAACAGTTTGAAGCAAAGCAAGAAAAAGATGGTGAGTGTCATGACCAAGTGGTATTGTGGTTACGGTACTCATCCTCAAATTCTAAAATCACAGGTTCAATCTAGTGTAGGATTCAGTAGGCTGCACACGATTTATAAATGGTAGCCTGACATGTTTGCATTATGATTTTGATATAAGCTGTATTCATCAAAAAATGATTTTGAAATTGTAAGCTCCTAATATGCCTGGTAATTTGCTATTATGCAGCATTTAGTCTTATATCTAGAAGAAGGGGTGCAGTTGTAACCTGAAGGTTGAGCTGTGTGTGTTGCCTATGTCCTGTCGCAAAACACTTTATCTATGTTTATCCCTCTCTACCCAGAAATATAAATGGGTACTGGCTACGCCCGGAAGTCAAAGAGACTCGAGCTATGAGGAGTGGCTATCTACTCACTGCCTCAGTCTGTCCCAAATGCTAAAGAAATAGAGATGGGGACTCTGTCCTGTACAGACTACAATGACCTTTACCTTTATAGAGACGATTATGACATTGTTAGACGGTTGAAAGTCCGCTAAATCAGTGTTGGTGCATTTGGTGTATTGCCCAATCACCACCAAGGACCCCACTGGAAAGAAGTCTTCTTCAGACTCGTGGAATTATCCTTGGTGTTTACACCGAATAAATCTGTGAATCCAAAAATGTCCCAAGATTTCCATCTTGTGATTGGTTGAATATTGTTTTTTTTTTAGAACGTTTACTTAAACACATCGAGAAGAAACTCGCAGATGAGAAATCTAAAGCTGAGATGTTGCTGCAACAAGAGGAGGAAAACAAGCTAGCAGAAGAAAAAGCCAGACAGAAGAGAGCAGAGGAACAAAAGAGGAAGCAAAAGGAAGAAGAAAAACTCAAGACAGAGATGAATGAGAAACTAAAACGAAAGGAGGAAGAGGGTAAGTGTTGTACAGACAGAATGCAATTTTTTAATTTTATTTGCCAAATACCTGGCATTTTTTCCACAGAGGAAAGAGTTCACTGAACCAGATCTTAAAAAAGAAAGTAGTATTTAATGACAGACTTGTGGAAGTGTTTTTTTGTTCACCTTTACCCTACTCCATTCCTATATTATGTGTTCATTTTTGGTTAAAATAAGTCAAAATTGATGACCATACACCAAAAAAACAACACCAAACAAAACTATTTAATTGATTCTCACACAAACTATTATTTAGGTAATGTTAATTTGTGTTCATGAAGTTATTATCATTAATATTGATTTATTAATTATGTTTGAATTTATCATTAACATGTCATGATTTTCATTAAAATTATTATTTATTTATTTGTTGGTTTTTTTTTTGTTTTTTTTTTGTTTTTCTACACTAAATTGTAATATCGATTGTTCTATCACCACAGCAGAGGGTTAGTAGCATGTTTTGTCAATTTTTATGTTCAACATAATTAAGAACCAGTTTTAATATGGATTTGTTTTCTGCCAGGAACGACTT